AGACTTGAAGACTGAGAGTTATTATTTCCGATTTATACATTAGCAGAAAATAGCTCCATGAGGCTTTTAAAGATGGTTTCATAATGAATAGTATATTCAAACCTTACTTAAAGTAAAGATATTATTGTTTGGCATCAGTCAGCACAATGGGATGTGTTCTTGGAACCTATAGCTTTATTCAGATAGCTTTCCCACTTCAAAACAGTCTAAGGAGGCAGAACTGATGGGAGTAGAAGACGATCCATTATTTTAAAGTGAATCATTTCATCCCCAAAATTGCTGTAAACCAAGCATTACAAAAGTCATTTTTTCCCCTTGCAAAGATGTTTTTAAATTGAAGTGAGGGAAGGGAAAGGCATTTCTACAAAAGGGATTAATGTTAGTTGGAGTGAAATAAAAGGAAGTTAACTTTAAGCAAAAAGGAACTTAAAAGGAAACTAGTAGTAGATCATATGGAGTTTGTTTTGGCCTGTTCGTCTGCCTACGAGTTCTTGACCTTGGTACAGAAACAGCTATAATCTGAGTTTCAACTCCTCCACTCTTAAAGTCTTTGTAAGTGTGACTCATAGTAAATTTTCAACATTAAACATGTTTATTGCATCAAGCAATGTGATGCAGAAAAGTTCACATCACTATTTGAATTAAGCCATAGCATTTGGAAAACTAATGCATACTTACGGTCTGTATTGCTTTACAATTTTTGCTTGCCCATTAAACAACTTGGTAAATATATATGCACACACGAAACAAGCAGGGTGACTTTGATGAGATCATGGTTTCTTGGCTTAATGCACTGCACAAATTTGTTGGGCAGATAAATAGAGGAGGAGAGAAGAAAACTATGCATGTTGCCTAGCACACCATTGAGAACAGGCAGGATAAGAATGTATTATATAGATATTAACTTGTGCTGCCAAAGTGAGTTTTCTGGGAATTCCTGTACATTTAAGAGTTATACAGAAGGAATTTTTTAAAATCAAGTAAAGTTTTCCTTCTAAAAAGTTCTGCAACAATGAAAAAACCTTTGTCTGGTGAAAGTTCCCTCTGTGTTATGCATGCTGCACAAGCCTATGTATGTGTACTAAGTAAGTCCCATAAATTCCAGTGGGGCTTACTCTCACGTGCATAGTTTGATGGTGCCATTCTAAACAAAATCCATGGGAAGTTCTAACTTGGTTTAGGATTGCAATGTAAACTTTGCAGCTGTGAAGACAAAGGAGACACCCTGGCAACTGTACTTGCTCCAAAGGACAAAAAACAAGTGGAGATTTAAGAGATCCCTCAGTTTCTATAATAAGAATAGTTAGTAACAGCATATCTGTTTATTCATATTATTCCTTACCAACTTCTGAATTCATTTTGTTCCAAAGAAGAGACAAAAATTGGTTTTGAAGTCGCATAGCTCATAGAGGGAGATGGAAAAGAGGGGAGATGTTTGTCCAGTTTTCCATTTTAATTTAACATATCCCAGTCTGAAATACATACTAAAAATTAGATACCATTGATTACAACGGAGCTGACATTTCTGTGACTTTAAGGTGACTAGATACGAAATTAGGGCTGTGCATTCAGTTCGTCTGAACCGAATGCACCCCTGAAAATGGCCCATTTGGGCCCCTTTCGAGCTGCTGCAGGCCGATTCAGATTCTCTGAATTTCAGCGGCAATTCGGCCCCATTATATCCTATGGGCCATTGAAGTCAATGGTGAAACCATGGGGCATATTCTGGGGGCTGGGAAGGAGGGGGTTCGAGGGAGAGGCTCCAAACTCACAGGGTTGCTGATGGAGCCTCTCCCCAAGATACCCACCAAGTTTCAAGAACATTGAACCAGGGGGTCCAATTCTACCGGCCCCCAAACAGGTCCCCTCCCACCATAGAGAACAATGGAGGGGATGGGGGCAACCTATTTAGGGGCCCATAGAATTGTACCCCCTTGTTCAATGTTCTTGAGATTTGGTGGGTATCTTTGGGAGAGGCTCCATCAGCTACCCTGCAAGTTTGGGGCTTCTCCCTCAATCCCCCTCCCCTCCAGCTCCCAGAATATACCCTATGTTTTTGCCATTGACTTCAATGGCCCATAGGATATAATGGGAACGGAAAGGCTCCCAAATGGGCTTATACTGCTGAAATTGACATGCAGGAGTCTTTCTGCTGGCCGAAATTGATTCTGCCTATTCGGCCAAATCCAAAACGGGTCGAATTTTTTATTTATTTATTTATTTTGCACACCCCTATATGAAATGTTAGGAATGTAAGAGAGAATGTTCATAAGACAGTGTTGCTAGCCAGCATGGCGTAGTGGTTAAGAGCAGCAGACTCTCATCTGGAGAAGGGGTTTTATTCCCCCTCCTCCACCTGAAGCCTGCTGGGTAACCCTGGGCCACTCAGAGTTCTCTCAGAACTCTCTGAACTATCTCACAAGGTGCCAGTTGTGGTGAGAGGGAGGGAAGGCGATTGTAAGCCACTTTTAGACTCCTTAGGGTAGAGCAAAGCAGGGTATACAAACCAACTCTTTTCTTCTTAATAAAGTATATTTTATAGAAAATGCAATTCCTCCTATTCCCATAGGCACAGTGGGCTTTGGAATCCATGGCCCCTCTCAGCCCTCCCAGTGTTTATTTTTTAAGGCAAGTCTCTAGTTATTTCATTGTGCAAGTATACAAACACTTTTGGTCCTGAGTTTGTCCAGGAGAGAAGAAGCTACAAGATGGCTGGGGTTCAGTCAATTAACCTCTTCTTCACCAAAATTATTCTCATATTCCTTTTCTCTCTGGTCCATTTGTCTCATTCTAGTTTGTATCCTTCATCTTTAATGTCCATAGTTACAAGTAATGGTAATATTAATACCATTTAGGGATTGTCTGTCCTGTTTGCAGTGGAAAATTTACCTTAGGAGTGGACCCTTCATGGGTAGGAGAATGTCCGGTTTCATGCAGCTTAGTTTTTAATCAATAATTTCAAGTATACTCGGTACAACTAACTTTTCTATGTAAAAGAATCTGTGCCTCTGAGCATATACACCTTTTAAGTAAAGGTAAAGGTTCCCTTGCTCGAAAGCCAGTTGAATCCGACTCTAGGGTTGTGGTGCTCATCTCCGTTTCAAAGCCGAAGAGCCAGCGCTGTCCGAAGACGTTTCCGTGGTCATGTGGCCGGCATGACTAAACACTAAGGTGCACGGAACGCTGTTACCTTCCCACCGAAGTGGTCCCTATTTATCTACTTGCAATTTCTTGCTTTCGAACTGCTAGGTTGGCAGGAGCTGGAACTAGAGACAGGAGCTCACCCTGTCTTGCGGCACCCGGGTCTTGAACCGCTGAACTACTGACCTTCCACAGCCTGCAGTTCAGCGTCTTAACCACTTGAGCCACCGCAGCTCCTATACACCTTTTACTCATTAAGAAATAACACTGTCACATTCCTGTCCTCACAACCACTGAAATCTGGGATTAGAACTAAAGGACTGAACTGATATAATGTTCCAGTGCTTAAACCACAGAAACCTTAATTGTAGAAAGATAGGTATTTATCTATAGAAGCACAAAAGCTGAGAGGCATAGTATCTACCACCTCTCATTGTAGAAAAATGATCTATTTGGGAGGATCTAAATACATCTAAGAGGAGCTGCGGTGGCTCAAGTGGTTAAGACGCTGTACTGCAGGCTGTGGAAGGTCAGTAGTTCAGCAGTTCAAGACCCGGGTGCCGCAAGACGGGGTGAGCTCCTGTCTCTAGTTCCAGCTCCTGCCAACCTAGCAGTTCGAAAGCAAGAAATTGCAAGTAGATGAATAGGTACCACTTCGGTGGGAAGGTAACAGCGTTCCATGTGCCTTGGTGTTTAGTCATGCCGGCCACATGACCACGGAAACGTCTTTGGACAGCGCTGGCTCTTCGGCTTTGAAACGGAGATGAGCACCGCAACCCTAGAGTCGGATTCGACTGGCTTTCGAGCAAGGGAACCTTTACCTTTACTTTAAATACATCTAAGACAAGAATAATATCTGTTCTGAATGCTGGCTGCAAGCACCCGGCACTTATGCAAAACACTTTCTGTCATTACACTACCTGGTATTAGAGAGTGATTTGCAGGCAGGAGTAACTCAGGAATCATACGTTTCAGTAATTAACAGTGCAATCCTAAGAACACTTCCTGGGAGTAAACCCTGTTAAATACACCTGAACAGGATTCTGAGTTGACCTGTTAGGATTGCTCATGAAAACATTGCTTAATTGCTATTTACCCCACCCGCAAGCTTTCCCAGCACAGTTTTGAATCCTATGCTTTGCAACATCCTCCGAGAGAAGAAAACAGGTACACTAATTATATCTACAAAGGACTCACTATTATTATTATTACTATAATAAGCAAATAACCTTTCACTGAATAGTTTATGGTATGTCAACTAAGCCATGACTTAGGTTTGCTTGGAGGAAAATGTACTGACCCTTTAATAGATGTGTAATGTATAGAAATGGGCAGCTGAGGCTTTTCATGCCATGGATGTAAATAATATCCCATTAATGCTCTAAATAAAGGAACAGGACCTTTTTTTCTCCAGACAGTTGGCAACTCTAATCAGAGGTCATTTCGGGGGGGAACGCGGGGGAACGCAGTTCCCCCGGGTGAGGTGCAGGGGGCGGGGCACATGATGAAGCCCCGCCCCCTGCTTCCGGCCGCCCTGCTTCCAGCCCTCATTCAGCCAGGAGGAGGCAGGAGAAGAGGGAGGGTAAGTTGCTTCCTCCCCGCCTCTCCCCACCCCTGCCTGCCTGGGGCCAGGGAGGGCCTTGGTGGGGCTTCCTCGCACTCCCACTGGCCTTGCAGGTCCACCGCCGGGCCCCTGATGTCAGGGGGTGTGGCATATGCTAATGAGTTATGCTAATGAGTTTCCCTAGCTCTTTTTCTACGAAATGACCCCTGACTCTAATTGACTCCATGGCTGTATATCCTAGGGTAATCAGCTAGCCCCAGCACTTCATGGCTTCTCCTAAAATATATGTGTGTACCTGCTTACAGTAATGACTACACATATAAATTGGAAATGGGGGGGCGATAATCTGGCATTAGCTACAGCTCATCTATTAATGGGAGCTAGTCGGAGCATGCATATTACTGCCATTCTGCAGAGGCTCCATTGGCTGCCCATCTGTTACCATACTCAGTTTAAGGTATTTACTATCATATACAAAGCTGTCCATTGCTTTGGCCCCTCTTATTTGTGGGACCAACTCTCTCCCTGTGCTCCACCACAGCAACTTTGCTTATGTCAGCAGGGGCTTCTGCAGAAGCAAATCTGCAAATGGACAAATTGAACAACTGCCCATACATGTGCTTTCTCTGTTGTGGCTCCTACTTTGTGGAATGGTAGGGTTGCCAAGTGAATTCTACTCACCGGTGGGGGAGCCTCGCCACGCTCCGGGAGCTGTCCCTCATCGTGTGTGCGCGCGCGCACTGCCAGCACGTTACCGGAAGTGACGCACTACGTCGATCACGTTGAGGCCGTGGCCCCGATCGTCGGAGGGAAAACCATAGAGTTCCCCCCGGGGCCCAATTCCACGGCAGCGGAAATCGGGCCTCCAAAGTGGGGTTTTACCCGCCACCCGCCCCCACTTGGCAGCCCTATGGAATGGCCTGCACAAGGAGGTCAAGAAAGGACCCACTCTCCTGGCTTTCCACATAAAATTGAACTATTCAAGAAAGCTTTTCTGCAAAGCTAATATGGTTGCACAGTACGAAATGGTTCTCAAACCTAAATGATTGCAACTGTTACCTACACTGTTGTGCATAGCTTATCATAAGCAGGATCCTATTATGTAATTTCTGTACCACTTAATAGGTTGTATTAACATTTATGCTATGATTCAGTTCCTTCTGGTTTTTCCAGACTCAAAAATCCTAATGCATTGGTTACTGAATGTCCCATTTTGTTGATTGTACTGACTCACTATGTGTAATCTGCCTTGAGTCCCTGTGAGAAAGATGGATTATTTATTTATTTTATTTATATATTTCTTGAGAGTTTTATCTCACCCTACCCTGCAAGCAGACTATAAATAACATAAATAAAATAAAGACATTCTCCATTTAGCAAATAGTTTATTTCCATTGTATTATTCTTTTGTATGGTGAATATCCCACAGGGACAGATATCATGTGATACAATACCTAGCAGGGTATGGAAGTTCTACCATTAATATTTCTATTCACGTCCCATGCTATGACGTTGCTAGATTCCACTGATGAACTGAACCTGAAGATAGTATTGTAATCATATATTCCTAAGAAACTGGCTCTTTAGATCTGTCTCAGAACCTCAACACTATATTCTGGAAAATGTATGTATGTACACACACACACACCAGAAAATAAGTTTTTAGCAACTGAAAACGTTTGCTCCCTTAGCTCAGTAACATATGACTGCTGCCTCTCCAACAATAAATGGTATCCTCTCAACTGTTTTTTCAATTGTAACTATTGATAGGTGAAGAATGAAATGTTTTGAGAAACAAACCCTTACTTGTTTCAACAGTCACTGAGAGGTTGCACTCAGAGAATGAACTGCCTTGCCAGATAGTCATTAAAGATGATTAACTGTTCTTCCAAATATGCTGCCCTTGGAGAGTTAGCATGAACATAATGAACAGTATTGCCTTCCCACTGTTATGACTGTGAAAAAAAGCTGACAGTATCTCAATGGGTTTCCTGCTCCAGCTTTCTAAAGCTTTGATTGTTTCCAAGTGATATTATTATTTACAGCAGATCATGAAATACTTTTGTGTGAGAGAAATTTGACTGTTATACCTGCAAGCACTAAAAATGGCTGTTTGTAAACAATGTTCACAGTATATATTTGTCCTACAGACTACAGAAGTGTATATGCATTTGTTTCCATTTCAGATACCACTGCATTCTTTGTTGAATAGATCTGACTCTAGGGTTGCCAGGTCCCCCTGGCCATTGGCAGGTAATAAGGGGGTAGGGTTGCCAGATCCAGAAAGGGAAACTCCTGGAGATTTGGGGATGGAGCCTGGGGAGGACACAGACAATAATGCTGTAGAGTCCATCCTCCAAAGCATCTATTTTGTCGAGGGAAACTGATCGCTGTAGTTCAGAGATGAGCGGTAATTCGGGGGGATTCCCAGGTCCTACCTGGAGGCTAACATCCCTATCTGAATCAGACTTTGTTGGTTTGCCATTTATCCACCTTCTAATTGGTAACTTTTTAGATTTTACAAAAATCTTAATTTCAGATTTGTCATAATTGTTCTCTAAAAGTTTGTTGCTGCAGTAGATCATGGACACTTTTATAGCTCTGTTCAGGCCACCCTGAGACCTAGAAAGTACTTCCACAAATGAACCATAAGTGCATAGAAAATAGGAGACATTTAAGAACTGGAGCAGGCCCAGAACTTTGATACAAGAGCCCCACCAGAAGGGCTCTTCAGAACTCATTTTTGTTCATGTCTTTTATTTATTTTATTTATTTGATCTATATCCTGCCCTCCCTGCAAGCAGGCTCAGGGTGGCTTACAAGGTCACATAGAATATCGTGAAGAGAACAATATATAACATTCAAACAATTTAAAAAATTAAAAAATTTCAAAGTTTCATAAAAACCAAAGTGAAAGTTGCCTTGGTAGCGGTGCTCGGGTGGAAACCTTCTGAGCAGTGTTGAGGGATATCAAGCCACTAACCACTAGGCTAGGGCTGTCAGCAGGGGAGGCCAAGAATTGAATTTGGACGCCTACTGCCTCAACTGAAAGCCTGGTGGAACAGTTCCTCTTTGCAGGCCCTGTGGAATTGTAACAGATCTTGCAGGGCCCTGATCTTAGATGGGAGCTTGTTCCACCAGACTGGGGCCAGTGCCAAAAAGACCCTGGCCCTATTTGAGGCTAGCCGGACATCCTTCGGGCTAGGGTACCCAGAGGATAAGGTGAGCGCAAGGCTCTGTGGGGCACATACAGGGAGAGACCTCTCCCCAGCTTAGCTCTAATTTTGGGATTTATTTAAGGGATATCTGTGCATGAGAAGCAAGCAACATTAACTTGAAATAATATCAAAAGCACTGAACCAAAGCATTTTGGTGTAGTGGTTAAGAGAGCCAGTATAGCGTAGTGGTTAAGAGTGGCAGACTCTAATCTAGAGCACTGGGTTTGATTCCCCACTCCTTCACATGCAGCCAGCTGGGTGACCTTGGGTCAGTCACAGTTCTTTCAGAGCTGTTCTCTCAATCTCAGCCCCACCTACCTCACAGGGTGTCTGTTTTAGGGAGAGGAAGGGAATGAGATTGTAAGCCGCTCTGAGACGCCAAGTGAAGGGCAGGGTATAAATCCAGCTCTTCTTCTTCTATAACTTCAAAATTTCATTCTAGATATCTAGCAGAAGCCTGTGGACATTATTTTCACATGGATCTTCTCTGCCATCGTTATTCCTGTGCAACTTAACTGAATAAAGTCTTTACTTCTTTTATTACCACATCACCTAATTTCCTTGAAGGCTAGGCAGGTTTGCTAGCAAAAAGGCTTTTGGAACTGAGTGACACAATATTTTTGCTGTCCAGAATTGATTAATCAACAATGATATAACCAAGCCTGTGCAGTTTCCCTTTGTACAAGCTCATTGTTTTTGTATGCACATGTTTCTTAGCAGCTCCCCAGACATGGGATTGGTTCCAAGTTCACCAAAAGTTGAAGAAAAGGTGGGGAGAGGGGGGAGGATGATTTTGTTCTGGCTCCTAAACAAACTCAAAATAAACTAAAAGGTGCTCTTCTCCCCCTTACACACAGTCTCTCTACCACCATATCAAAGAAAATGACAACAGCATTTATAGCGTTGGTTTGAAACATGTGTTCCCGCCACACTAAACAAATTAGGATTTGTAACCCATTCCTCATTCTCAGCCGCTGTTCCCTATAGGTGAAATAATGAATGACCATTGATGAACATATCAGAATTTTAGTGAGAACAATTTAAGCAGATGCATTCTGCATCCTTCTGGAATAAACAACAAGGATTCTATTGGTTTTCAGTGTGCATGCCTATGCATGTGTATATTGCAACTGAGGACTTTAAAAGTACCCTTGCTTACTCAAAGTGCTGTGAAAAAAAGAATAAAATTCCTTCCTCTCATAATCCAGCACTGTGGAATACAGATTTAAAAGAGTAGTCTGTCCCCTCTTGGATTTGCAAGTTTGTCCCAGTTGGTATTAATCTCCAGAAAAGGCTGTTTATGTTGATTCATTTTTAAAGCCTCAGAATTCCAGAATGTTATCTATTTAAGAGATGCCCTGACATTTTCAAGTACTAGTATTCTATTCTGTCATTCTGTTTTCATGGAAAAAAACACACCCGATCACTCCCTTTCCCCCTATTTATCAGTGAGATCAACTTTTGAAACTGCCACGGACCAAAGTGGAGAAAAACCAAGGAATAAACCCCTTAATTGAAGCCTTAGATTATTAATGAACAAATTAATTACATCCGCAATTTTCCATCTCACTGACAGAAGATCTACAGTTCAACCAAGGAATATTGTGTCTCAAACCAGATTGGCGCCATTAAACCCAGTGAGGAGCTTAATTTTTTAAAAAAATCAACTTGTCTTTAAACTTGACTCTGAAAGAAAGATTGAGCTATTAGTTAGAAGGAAATTCTAAGGAACTTCACCGTTAGACATTTCTGTGATCTTTATTGAAAATAACCATTGTGGAAAGCATGGCAAACTCAATTATTCCTGGCATTGTGATAGGTAGTTAAGATCAAACACAATTAGAAGACCAACTGCCATCTTGTATCAGTGACAATCCTTTACAATTTAGTGGATTGATTGTCTGATTATAGCAAGTAACCCCTACTGTACAATGAGGAGACCCACAATCACAAAAACCTTTGAATTGCTGTTTACCAGAGGTCCATTCTGGAATAAGGCCCATGATATTTAGAGCAGCAACAAGTCATGCTAGCCATACCTTTGCAATTCATAGAAATTGATAAAATTAATACCACAGTTCCTTTGTTTTCAGAAACAATGCACATGATGGAATAACACAGGATTTTCTGTCTTTGCTTTTAGTATTTGCTGTTATTTGTATTTTAGATTCTCCTAAAGAGAATTAGAAGATGTGATAAAGTTAGATATTCTTCCTATTCCTGGAAGATGAATACTTGCTCTTACATAAATAAGGTCAGGAAAAGGTGAAAAGGAAGAGGAAAAAGAAGAGGATAGCAATTTAACTTCAGAGTACTTTGCACCACCAGCAAAGCTGTTTTGCCAATATCTGGGATGTGGAATGTACACAAAGACAAGAGAATTAGGAGACTACAATAAAGTTAACAAGAAGCCTTCGCACCTGTTGTATGGGGTCCTCAGGAGTAAGGCCTGGCTATCTGTGGGAGTGTGGCAGCCATAGACTGGGGGAGGCACCGAATACTGTTGGTCACCTGTAGACAAATCACAGAGAAATTCACTACCCTGAAACATGGTGACCTGATGCTGAATTTTAAAGTGTCATCAGAAACCCCAGGGAAGAGACTTAGTCCTTTTCAAGCAATAGTTACTTTCATTTTCAAAAGTTATTTATATCAGAGGTAGAGACTGATCCCCAGTTCTTCTGAAAACTGCTTTACTGTTTGACAAAATGTAAAACTGGTGGCTGATTTTTCGTTTTAACAAGCGTGCAGTCAAAAATGACAGCTGTATCTGTCAAACATCTTTGGTTCAGATCTCACTTGGCCATGGCTCCCTGGCCTGAGGCAAGCTTTTATTTCTCTGCTTCTCATTTGTAAAACAGAGGTTGTAATTCTATCCTCCTTTACCGTACTTCAGTAAGTGTTACACCAAGGGTTACTGGAGCACTGTATGTGAAGTCCTTTAAACACCTGAAGTGTGCAACATAAATGCATAAAGTAATCCTTCCAAAGTTAAGCATTCTGATACCCATTGATTGCAGTGGGTGTGCTGAGTGTGTATACCTATAATGTGCCCTGAGTAGAAGAAGAAGAAGAGATTGGATTTATACCCCGCCCTTCACTACCAAAAGGAGTTTCAGAGCAGCTTATAAACTCCTTTCCCCTCCCCTCCCCACAATAGACACCCTGTGAGGTAGGTGGGGCTGAGAGAGCTCTTGACAGAAACTGCTCTTTCAAGAACAGCTCTTATCAGAACTACGGCTTGCCCAAGGTCATCCAGCAGGTGCAAGTGGAGGAGTGGGGAATCAAACCCGGTTCTCCCAGATTAGAGTCTGTGCACTTAACCACCACACCAAACTGGCTCTGGTTCAAGCACCTGTGGTGTCTATTGCTTAGGCAGGACTTACACTTCAGTCTAAAACACCTTTTTCAGAACGATTGCTGACTTCAGGGAAACATTCCATATGAAGTCCCAACAACTTCTCCAGTATTTTACATAGTTCTGAGATATAATCAAAATACATTTGTTTTAATGACTGTACTATTTCACAAGAGCAGGGTAATTGTCATCACAGTCATGATTTTCAATTTCACTAATCCATTTAGCTTCTTGTTTATATATATATGGATACTACTTTCTTCTTAAGGATGCTTATTATTTAACTGGTATTTGTATTATCCTTCAGTCATAAAAACCCATGGGTGAACTGGTTTGGGGGGACTTTGTGGGGCGTGTGTGTGTGTGTAGAATCCTCAGTGATCACTGACATATTGCACAGAGAGGCCTTTGAGCAGTTACCTAGAGATGTCTGTTGGCTGATGGGGTCCTCATGTTTAAAAGAGTGGTTTGTAAACTGTGCTGCATGGTGAGAGGGAGTATGTCCATAACTTGGAGTTCCATCAAACGCCACTGTGCCGTAACCTGCCAAGAGAACAACATAGTCAGGAATCAGAAGTTGAATCGCCTAGCCTTGAACTTTCTCATGAAACAGCTTCCTGGAAAAAAACATTTCCCCCTGGCAAACAGGCCGGCAGGCGTCAAAAAGTTGAAGCCTATGCTCTTTGCAGCAGCTGGTGGCTCCTTTCCACAAGAAGAGATAGCCATCACAATGAACCCAGATAAACCCATGGAGGGACCAAAATAGTGCAACTGTAGCAAATCCCACATCTAGCTCCAGTCTTGCATCACCCTCTCCACCATATAACTTCAGCACTCTGAGTGATGGTGAAAAGCAACCCTGCCTTGCCATAAAACCTAACCCATGTTGTACATTCACACCTCAGCTCTAAACAAAAGAATAGAGCTGTTGAAGAGATTCATTTAGTATTAAAGGTCCGTGAAAACCAGAGGCGCAGACTAAGCCACTTAATTCATGCCGTGCCTCAATTCACTTGCACAAATGGTTGGTGATACTGCTTTTTTTCCCTCAGAGTAGCCAAGTTGGTCTGATGACATGTGCGTACATATGAAAGCTTATAACCGGAATTAAACTTTGTTGGCCTTAAAGGTGCCACTGGACTCAACCTTTGTTCTGTTGCTTTTCTCTCTGTCTCTCTGAGAACCACTGGCACTCAGGCAATGGGAGACTCTACCTGCCATCCTAAGCACATTTAACATGGATTTCATGATGATATACTTCCATAGTAAAGCCATCATAAGTATGGCCATTTGGAAGTAAACCCTGGCCTATTTGGGACAGAATACAATTATAGGGATGTTGGGGCTCTCTGTCCCTAGTTACCTACTTTGGTGGGAAATTAAGAGCAAAGATTTTTCACCATGCATGAAAAGGGTGGGCAGGTTTTTGCTGCAATCCTTTCATTCATTATTCCTCATATTTAAGAGAAAGTTCCCATCTGCTGAGCAAAGCTGTCTGCCATTTCACGTTTAAAGGTTACCCTTTAATCTCCATCTCTCTCTGGCTTCTCGCTAGTTTTATAAGATTAACTTTCTAAAGCATCTGCAATAAAAATAGCAGGGCATTAAATGAAAAATAACCTCCTACTTTAAGTGAAAATTGCTGGCTCAAACAATAATAAACAGCCTTTTTTTTTTAAGGGAGCAAATTCAGAAGGGAAAGGATCGCCTCTGGTGACCCCAAGTTGACACCTAATCGTAAATCAGGCGTTTAGACACCAACTTTCATTAATTACTTGGAGCCAGCTAAACAACTTCAGCTAAAAAGTAATTACAAAGTAATATTATCTTTGAGGCTTCTCGGCTCATCAGCATTTACCCCAAGACCGAAGAATGTTTGGCGTAGCCCTTCTGAGACCTGCCCTGCCTTTCCCAATCAACACGCGCTGATTTTTTTCCCCTGGCAGCTCTCCGTTACAAAACCTATTTTCTTTAAATCCCGTTACCCTATAAATCCGCTCGTTTCAAGAGAACATTCCGAACACATTCAGGCGGGCAACGGCAGGCAATTATGAGAATTTCGGTTTGGGACAGGGTCTCACAACCAGAGGTTTCGCCTTTTAAAAAAAAGACAGAAAATGCGGCAGCCCACACTGTCTTTCGCAGACGCATTCGGTGCCCAGGGGCAGCTCTCGTTCTATGGCAGCAGATGGCGATCAAGAAGAAAACGATGATGGTTGATCTCAGACCACAGTCTAGGATGGGGGGGAACCAGTTCCCGCGAGGGGGGAGCACAGGATCAAAATTTCAAGAGTACACTAGTGAGCGATTTACTGACCACCCTCACTCAACCCGATCCACAAGCCGCTAAAACAAGAAATGGACCGGGCTTGGTTTCGAGGAACACGTTACCTGCGACGGGTTCTTAAGCACGTTTACTTAAAACGTTCGTTGATTTAAATGGGCTTGCTCCAGAGTAAATGTTTGTTAAGATGACATCCTAACTTGAAAGGGGAGTCCATTGAAATCAACAGGACATTGTCTGGTCAAAAACTTTCAGATCGGAGTCCTGTTGAAATCAGTACAATTGCCCGGACTGGAGTCCCGTGTGAATGGCAGACGGTCTAGCGAGCAGCAGCGCCTGCCTGACTCCTGAAACCGGCCGTTTCACAATAATCCCGTTGAAAACGCAAGAGCTGCCGCTACAAACCCCTCGGTCCGGTTCATTTGATATATAAACCACTTTACATCCTGATGCTAAATGCATCTCCAGAGGAAATCAGCCCCGTTGCATTTATGCCGACGTTTCCAAGCCCCAGAATCAGAACTAGGGGGAGACACAGACCCTTTGGCTTCAGTTAAATTCAGACCACCGACTCTACACGCAATTGGCTAGCCTCTGTGTTTTCTGCAGAGTTAAACATGCTTGGGTGCAAAGTTTTAAACCGCTGCAGTGACTGTGGACACCGGAAATCTCAAAGGACCTGCGTTTAGGAGCGTTTAGGACACTGGCAATACCTCAGTGGAACGCTATGGGTGAGCTGCAGTCTAATGTCCTTTAGGATCCCATAGCAAACGGTTTAAATGGATGAGTCCAGTTTAAGATACCTGAAGTGTATTCCACTATTATAGCCCATCCATAATAACCCTCTTAAACTAAGACTTGGATTACAGCCAGTCAACTTCTATTGCAATCAACTTCTATTGCAATTTATAGTTAATCCAGTCCTAATTGTAAGGAACCCTAAAACCTGCCCACTTGAAGGTAGTTGCACATAAATTTGCCTGCAGCCTAGGCATTTGCAAGGTTCCCTCGAAAATAAAGCTCATTGTGATGGATGGAATTTACTCTTAAGTAAGTATGTACTGGATCCTAGTTGTAATGTGTCCAGGACTGGGATATAACTGGGATTAAATCATAACACTACATTTTTCAGAGTTATAAATTAGGCTGCAGACTTTTCTAATCCAGAGTTATAAATTAGGCTGCAGATTTTTCTAATCCGGGAGTTAGTGTCTCTCGAAAATAGGATTTTATGTGAAGCCTTGGGTCCCTCCTGGGTAGAGAAATCACTGAAGCTGCAAGTTCTTTCCAGAGAAAGGAACAAACATACACTGCAACCAGTGTTCCCTCTAAACTGAGTTAGTGTGAACTAGCTCACAGTTTTTTAGCTTTCTGTTCACACATTTTTGTCTTCGCTCAGGAAGGAAGGATGGGTCCAGAGCAAACTAATTTATGCAGTAGCCAAATCACCTGCCTGCTCACAACTTTAATGCTGGTAGCTCACAAAGTAGAATTTTTGCTCACAAGACTCCACAGCATAGAGGGAGCATTGACTGCAACCCCCCCACCCCACCCCCGCAGTTGGCAAATGATACAACAGGCCTGGAAGCGCCTCTCCAAGCCTGTTGCCTGCGCTTGGCGCGTCCTCGGGCGCAGAGTCCTTTTTCTCCCCAGCCAGCTAACAGCGATGACAGGCCGGTGCCCAACCCCTTGCACTTCCACGCTATAGCTGTTCTGGGCTTCCTTATCTCAGCTCATAACCCGCAGAGCAAAAGCTTTCCTCCTCTCCTCCCCTCCCCTCTTGCCTCCTCTTCATTTTCAACTGTCTTGCAACATTGACACTTCAGATCTTTAGTTCCTCTTGGCCCTAACGCAGATATTTGGTGACCTTCAAAATTCTCCTCCGAGTAGAATGATGTTTTGGCCACATTTTCCGGTGTTGTTTGACCCAAACCTTCAGGAATGCGATAAGAAGGCTGAGTTCTGAATCATCCTCATGATAGCCTGCTCTCTTTAATTAGGATTTTATCGGAGGCTGGGCTGATTAAGACGCGCCGAAAATAATTGAAATTTGGACATCTGTTGAGGAAGGCAAATCGTCTAAAGGGATCCAGTTGTTAGAAGAGCCCAGCTGGTTGAAAGCAGGGAAGGGGGAGAAGCAGATAGAAAGTTCAAAGCAAGAGGGTTTCCCGTGCCAAAGACTTGGCAAAACTGCCAAGGTAACATCTTTCCCACGGTGGGAAAACTTGCCTAACCCTAAAATTCAGCCTTGACAGATTCAAAGCAAGAACAGTATATTCATTCCCCAAAAAGTGTTTACTAGCGTTCCCAAATTCCTCCCAGGCGCCCCAAAATCAGTGCTCTTCCTCTTTCCTCCTCCCCCTCATTCGTTTATAGCTTGGTCTGCTACAAAGAAGCTGCTGGTTTGTTTTTGTTTCGGACTACCCACCCCTTACCTCTTCCTTGCTATTACTCCTTTGACACCATAAGGACAGCTAACAACCCTCCTACTCTTCGTTCCTACTTCCCGGTATATGAATGTCGGGAAGTCTAATATAAAAGAGTCAGGGACAATGCTCCCTCTAAGTTGTGGAGTCCTGTGAGCAAAAATTCTACCTGGTGAGCCACTGGCATTAAAGTTCTGAGCGAGCAATTTGGCTCCTGCATAAGTTAGTTAGCTCTAGAGCCATCCCTCCTGAGCTGTGACAAAAAGGTGTGAGACGGAGGCTGAGAAACTATGAGCTGGCTCACACTAACTCAGCTTAGAGGGAACACTGGTCATGGACCAACCTATCCTTCAAGGCGACCAGGAAAAAAGACTAACCAGGGCACACAGTGTCAGATCCCTCATTCCATTTTTTTTTTTAAATCAAGATGATGGGCTTTATTCTTCTTTTATGTCAGAACAGGGAAATAACACAGAGGAGCGTTAAGATATCAGATCCTTTGAACCCAAATTGTTGAGATACAGATACACCTGCAGTACCAAAGAAAATAGTTTTGTACCAATATTCTGGACCAGTGTAGTACGAATTCTAGCTTTTGACAAATTGTTGGGTCTTGGAATTATACTATTTCTTCCCACAGTGTGCTAATCAAACAACTTAAAAAGCTCTTGTGGAAAAAGCGCTTTTGCTTGGTGGTTTTAAACAGCCCTGAATTGAAATTTTGTAAAACACAAGGAAATCTGGCTAAATACTATTTCATGAGGGGGAAATCCATTGTATAAATGGCACTTATTTTTCTAGCATTTTTTTTCTTGGTAACATTTGAATTTATCATTTTGTTGTTTAAGTACTACACGTTCTTATTTGCCTATATATTCTTCACCATTCATCTAAAAATCTTTTCCTCAAAAAAAATCACAGATTTATAAGCGCACAAAAATACAAAGAGAAATGTGTCAAACAAAGAAAGGCATGTGACATCAAAACAACTGAAATTACTCAAGTTGATTTGTTAGTCCATTGTAGCAAAATAAAGCATAAGTCCAATGGCTCCTTCAAGACTAACATTTTTTAAAAAACATGAGCTTTCCTGAGCAACAGTTTATTTCTTCATAACTAAAGAAGTAAGCTGTGATTCATGAAAGTTCATATTCAGTTCAATGTTATTAGTCTTTAAAATGCCACCGGATTTCTTTTTCCCAGTCACTATGGCAGTTCCCACCCCAGTCCCTAGAAATGCTGTAGATTTATATATTTAGTGAAATTATATCAGAATATTAATTTGCTTCATAAATTGCCTGTCCAAGTATCCAGACACCAGAGTTCCAGCAGGACAGTATGTGTCAGAAAAATGCTACAATCCCAGGTGCAAGAGGAATGGGGGAGGGGCAATTATTAGAAAAACTGAGCGGCTGCCCCAAATAATCAAAGGGGTTTCCTTCGTGTACTCTGGAGAAGTGTTGTCTTCACTACTGGAGAAAATAAAATCTCAGATTATGAAACATCGCACTGGTCAAATTAGAACTAATGATTTCTTGTTAAAGGAATAATTTGGGGAAAACATTTTAGAATAGCTGGAAAGTATTTTCCCCCTCGAAAATAAAGTCCTGTGACTGCAGTATGAGAAAATCAATTAAATTAATTTTCTTTCTAATTTTATTTCACCGTTGCTTTGCATTGTAATTTCAGGATCATATTTTAAAGCCGACAAATGGTTCCCTTCATTTTCTACATTGGCTTAATTGAGGTCTGAAGTAGGTTATTGCCTAGGAAAACATCAGGACACCGTTCGGGAACCATCCACCTGCAAGTTCTTCTGCTTCAGCCTCCCTGGAATGAATGGTGCTACTGGACTGTATAACTGTACTAAGGATCCACTGATTTCATACATGACATTATTTTCATCTTCATACAGACACATCTAGAGTATAAAGAAGGAACCTGAGAATTTTAGTAGTAGAAATCAGTTTATTTCTAGTTTCTCGTAATCTCTCTCCCTACTCCTTATAGACGGTGCAGACAGAAACAGAGGAGTATTCAATTATCAGGAAGATCCATAACCCAAAATAAGCCAATGAGAATTCTATAATATTTGTTTGGGTACCATTTTTACCAAAATCTGTGCAACACTTCTAAATCAACCCTTAGGTTTTAAAGGTCCCAAGTGCCAGGTCCAGTAATTTAACTGAGTTTGAAAAATCTTGTCAGAAGGAATAATAGATTCTACATACATCTTGCAGGGGTAAATTCCATTGATTTCACCAAGATCTATTACCACATAAATATGTTACATTTCTGGTACCAATTAGTAGTGTATTTCCTAAAGGAACTGCATCTTTGAACCCATGCCTTTGATGTACAGATCCTGCGAAATTTGGTGGTATGAGATGCATGCCTATTCAGACATCCTCTGGCCCAATAATAAATCACAAGGAGCTAGTTTTAGCATTAAAATGTTGTACAGTGTTACCTTCTCGGTATAATTAGATCAGGCATTCAGTCCAACACTATGTATCTTCACCAGCCTGTTTCTTTTACATTTGCAGACTATAATTAATTAGACATCAATTATTTTTTATTTCCATTATCTATGGGTTGGTAGAAGAATCTACTAGCAGTAATTTATTGTATAACAACTGGACCCGGTAATTTATGGAATCTGATTCCTTGGAAATTAATCTTAAATTGTTGGGAGAGGTCTGAAGGAAGAGTGCATTGCACACCAAAGCTTATACTCAGAATTAAACTTTGTTGGTCTTAAAGGTGCCACTGGACTCAGATTTTGTTTCTGTTGTTTCAGATCAACACGGCTACCCATCTGAACCAATACAACCTGTTCAACTAGAAAAGGGAAAGTGGGCGTGTGTTTGACCACGGTTCCCAGCCTTTAACAGGCTCAGCCGCCTTAGAAATAAATAAATAAGTTTATTATAAAGCATTCCACTGATTCAGGAGGATTAGGATAAAGCTGTTAGGGACATTTGGCTTCCCCCCTCCTCAGCCTTTTTCTGAATTTCTCTCTGGTCCTCTGAAATGATAAGGGTAACAATCAACTGGGAAAGGACAACGTTGAAGGTGTCTTTGCTTCAGCTATTTTTAAAAAAAATTCAGAATGAGTAAAACTTACTGTGAAAGGCTGATAAACTGAAGGGAACATCAAATATTCTACTCATTGATTGTCCTGAATCTGGAGTGCATTTATAGAAGAGGTATCGGCAATCTACAACCCTCTTACTCCAGAATGGTCTTGGCGGAGTTCTTAATTGCATTTTAAAGTTACCCATCCAGAACCCGTTTAATCCAAAACAATTTCCCTGCGTGTCAAAACGCGCTAAACTCGGTCAACCGGGAATGCCTTCAGTGACGTTTATGTTTCTATCTAAATATATCACATTTCAAGTGAATTCTTAAACTTTTTTTTTGTCTTTCAAATCATGCTAATTATTAAAGCTACTTAACCAAGGACCAAACCGGAAAGCAGCGACCCACAATCTAGTTAATCTGAACTAGATTAGTTAAATTGGAATTCATGTATTAAATTGCACCCCCAAATTCATTTCCTCCGGGACAGCTTCTCTTCCCATCCCGGGTAACTTCTGGCTGCGGGCACACACAGGAAATAATCTACTTTCACTGCAGTTTCCAACTGGATTCTGCCAGTTCCCACAGTAAAATCCACTTGGAAGGTGCCCTGAATGTGGAGTGCAAGTGGGTTGTTTAGTGTGTATGGGCGGTTTCAATGCACTTTTCAATGCACTTTGCAACTGGATTTTACCGTGCGAAGTGGCAAAATCCCCTTGCAAACGCTCGCTGAAGAGAACTGAAACAGCGTTATTTCGCCTGCGATCGCAGCCTCTCTGCACACAGATGACGGGGTAAGGCTGTAATCTTTGCGGCTGCGGACTCAGCAGAACTTTAGTTCAGAGTCAACAGGCAGAGAGAGTCGCGCTGCACGTGTATTGGGTCGCGAAGCCCTGGTTAGGCTTGGCCCAATCTGCACATACCTATTTCCAGTCACCGATACAGCAATCGACTAAGAAGAGCAGCCCCGCAGAGCGATGGCTCGGCAGTTCCTGCAGACGGTGTCAGTCCGACGGGGGACGGGCGGTCTGAAGGGGGGGGGGGGCAATGCTCCCTCTAAGCTGTGGAGTCTTGTGAGCAAAACGTCTATTGTGTGAGCTACTGGCTACTGCATAAATTAGTCTGCTCTGGAGCAAAGTTCCCTCTAAGCTGTGGAGTCTTCTGAACAAAAATTCTACTTGGTGAGCTCCTGGCATTAAAGTCGTGAGCGAGCGACTTGGCTGCTGCATACGTTAGTTTGCTCCCAAGCCGTCCTTCCTGAGCTAAGAGGGAACACTGGTTGTGAGCGAGTGATTTGGCTACTGCATAGTCTGCTCTGGAGCCCTCCTTCCTGAGCCCTCCTTCCTGAGCTAAGACAAAAATGTGTGAGCCGGAGGCTAACGAACTGTGGGTTAGCTCACTCTAACTCAGCTTAGAGGGAACACTGCTCTGGAGCCCTCCTTCCTGAGCTAAGACAAAAATGAGTGAGCCGGAGGCTAAAAAACTGTGATCTAGCTCACACTAACTCAGCTTAGAGGGAACACTGCTCTGGAGCCACATCCTTCCTGAGCGAAGACAAAAATGAGTGAGCCGGAGGCTAACGAACTGTGAGCTAGCTCACTCTAACTCAGCTTAGAGGGAACACTGGGGGGGGGGACCGCAGCGGCGGCCGCCTTACCTTGGTTGCGGATGGCTTGCTGGCTCTCCAGGCAGCTGGGCAGGTAGGTCCCGCTGGGGAAGATGCGCGCCT